TTTTTGTGCGCAGAGACCGTGCCAGCAGTGCGCAATTGCGCACGTGCGCAGCTTAGAGGGAACATCGTTTACAATATAAATCGCCTTGAGGCGACTGTTGTTGTGATTTGGCGCTATATAAATAAAATTGACCCACCTCTCACTTTGGATGTTCATGTCAAATCTCTGGTTTGGTCTTGGTTTTATCACTTAAGAAACATTGCTAAATTAAGCCCTATTGTATCTCGCACTGAACTGGAGTTGTTATACATGCATTCATTTCATCATGATTAGACTACTGTAATTCACTGTTTACATGTCTAAGCAAAAACTCCTTGGAGCATCTGATGATTGTTCAAAACGCTGCAGCAAGGCTTCCGGCCAGATCATCAAAGTACTCACATGTGACACCGTTGCTAATACAGTTGCACTGCCTCCCCATTAAATTCAGAGTCCATTTTAAGATTCTGGTTCTGACCTTCATGGACAAGCACCAGCTTGCATCATTGAACTTTTAAAGCCCTATGTCCCTAGCAGGTCCCTGAGGTCATGTGATCAAGCCCTACTTGTTATTCAGCATACAAGGCTGAGAACTAAGGGAGACAGAGCTTTTACCACTGTGGCTCCCAGACCATGGAACTCTGTCCTACTGAGCTTAAGATCTGTGGACTCAGTAGTCTCTTTTTAATAACAACTAAAAACACATCTTTTTAAATTTGCATTTTTGTTAACTTTTGTCTGTTTTTGTTTTATACTTAATCTCTGTGTAAAGCACTTTGTAATCTTTTATCCAGAAAAGTGCTATATAAAAAAAAATTTACTTACTTACTTTACCTGTTCAATGACCTGCTGATTTGTAAGTTAATAAATAACCTCTGATATGTCACATTCATTATTTGTGTGTTCGTTGTTGGTTCCAGGTGCGTTGTATGTCTGCACTGAGGACTCATTTCCCATTAAGCGTCTGCACCAGCTGATTGGCGAGCAAGTCTGTCTGCGTTCTGACGTTCCTGCGGACCTTGTAAGCAGTCTTCGCTTCAGCGACCACGTTTACATTGAGCACACCGCGGACCTGGTAAGTCTGATCATGCGACATCTGTTTAGACCCCGTTACGACCCATAACTTCTTGCTCTGTCCTCAGGATTCCCTCCTGGTGTGCCTAACACGCCGCGCCCGCCTCCTACTGACACGCGGTCTGGTGCGCCTAATCGTGGTCGACTCAGTGGCAGCGCTGTTCAGGACCGAGTTCCAGGCCGATGATTGGCTAGAGAGGAACAGACAGCTACTCACCTTCTCCTCCATGCTGCATCACCTGAGTCAGGAGTTCAGCACACCTGTGCTCTGCATCAACCAGGTAACACCATCCAGGTAGCACACCAGAGTTCAGTCTCTTATCTCTGACCACTAATCAGTGACAGGTGTTTGTTTTCCAGGTAACAGATGTTTTCAGCCAATCACACAACAGTATGGGGTAAATCAGATATCTTCTTTATGAGCTGATCACATTTTGACCTTTGACCTCAGAACCACTTCAGCGTAAATTTCCTCCTACTCAGGCCTTCGCTGTCCACCGTGTCTCCTGCTCTTGGGTTGGCGTGGGCCAATCAGGTGATGGTTCGGCTGATGATGAGCCGTCTCCAAGGAACGGTCGTCCGTGGTGACCAGAGCAGTGCTCTCCGCAGGTTGGAGGTGGTGTTTGCGCCTCACCTGGCACGTGACGGACAAAACGCTGCCGTGTGGAGGGAGGGGCTCAGAGGAGTTGAGAGCTGGACTTCAAATAGAAAATAAACTTTATTAAACAGCATCAGTAGCATCAGATTATTAAAGAGTGATCACACTGTTTCCTGACTGTTCTGAAGGTTGTGGACACTGATGCATTGACTGGGGGTCAGACAGGTGTGTTAGTGGCCTCATATCTCTTTGATCTGGACAGAATGAGCTGGGAGGTCCAGACTGATACATGATCCTGATTTTGCTGTGCAGGTTGACTCTGGTCTGTTCAGGAGCCTATGATTCGGTTCTGGTTGACCCGCTAAAGTGGATTCAGATTATTTTCAGACTGAACCTTTTCAATTCAATTCAATTCAATTTTATTTATATAGCGCCAGATAGGGTTGCCAACCGTCCCTTAAAATACGGAATCGTCCCGTATTTCGAAACAAAAGTACACGTCCCGTATTGAGC